ATCATGTATACATTCTAATTACTTTTAATTATATATATATATATATATATATATATATATAATATATATTTATATTATAAATATAATATAAATTATTAATATATATCATATATGTTATATATATATATATATATATATATATATATATATATATATATATATATATATATATAAACACTATGCATAAACTATATAAAGTAATAAAGTATATAATTTATAGAAACGCTAAACGCTAAACCCTAAACTTTATACACTATATATGTATAGATAGTTGATAATTCATATATATAGTTTATAACTTTATATAAACAATAGTTTATATAAATTATATATGTAACATTAACCTATAGTATATAAACAATAGTTAATATATGTAACCTATAGTATATGTATACATGTAAACTATACATGTAACTTATAGTACATGTATGTATAAACTATGTATAGTGTATATAAACTATAGGTATAAAGTAAATTATTTATATAGTTTATAGAAACACTATGCATAAATTATATAAAGTAATAAAATATATAGTTTATAGAAATCTTAAATCCCTAAACCCTAAATAGTATATATAAACCCTAAATCCTAAATCCTAAATATTAAAATATAAACCCTAAACCCTAACCCATAAACTCTAAACCCTAAACATTATGCATAAACAATAGTTAATATATGTAACATATAGTATATGTATACATGTAAACTATATATGTAACTTATAGTACATGTATGTATAAACTATGTATACTATATATAAACTATATATATATAACCTATAGTATATGTATACATACAATCTATTTATATTTTATATAAACTATATATGTAACTTATAGTTTATAAACAATAGTTTATATTAGTGTACTATATAGTTTATACTTTATAACCTATAGTATATAATTTATAAACTATAGTTTATATTAATGTACTATATAATTTATATTAATGTTAATTATCTTAACTATAATTTATATTAATATAGTATATAGTTTATAAACTATACTATATTAATATTAATTATATGAATTATAGTTTATAAACTATACTATATAATTTATAACATATAGTTTATATTAATATTAATTTTATAGACTATATTTTATATTAATATTAATTACAAATTATAAACTATATTATATTAATATAAGTTAATATTAATTAAATTAATATTAATTATAATATATAATTATTTTTATATTAATTATAATATATAATTATTTTAATATTAATTATAAATACTTTATTAATATAAATTATATAAGACGGTAGCGCCAAATAACCAAACCAGAATTGTCATTTCCCTCCTATTTTTATTTTTCTTTTGATCTTAATTGTTTCCCTCTCTCCAAACAACCTATATAAGGCGGTGACGCCAGATAACCAAACCAGAATTATCATTTCCCTCCTATTTTTCTTTTTCTTCTGCTATTAATTGTTTCCCTCTCTCCAAACAACCCATCGCTCCAACGATTCATTTCCTCTCCCAAGAAGGAACCTTCTCTTTTTCATTGTTTTCTCAGTGTTATAGTGAAGAACAAAGAAGATGATAGGCGGATCTAAATTTAATCCACCAAAGCCTAGGAAGAGAGTCGACGCTGCTTCAACCGACGCTCCTACAGCCTCTCTTGTCTGTGCCAAAGATGGAAGTGTTTTTGTCAAATGGTAATCTCATTCACCCTCAACCTAGGCTTTTGTTTCTATTTCCTTTATGGGTTTTTGCATCATTTTGAAAATTTGAGTGACAAAGTTGTCTGTATCATGGCTGATTTGCATGGTTGAACTTTAGAAATGCTTAATCTTTATGGTTGTAAGATCAGCGATGCTAGTTTGGGTGCGATTGCAGATAACTGTCAATTGCTCAATGACCTTGATGTCTCCGGGTGTGCTATCACTGATTCCGGAATTGCATCTCTGGAGTGTTTTCTTTGTTGGGCAAGTGAGCTTTTTTTCACGATGGCAGGGACTGGAGTGTTTGCAGACGTATTGGAGGGAGATGTTTACAAATATTATGCTGATGGAGAATGGAAGAAGTCTTCTTCTGGAAAAAGTGTTGCAATTATCAACCCAATGACCAGGAAAACCCAGTACAAGGTTCAAGGTTGAACCAGCTAAACTTGTAAAACAACTGTATTTTGCTATATATATATATATATATATGCATGCTTCTGTTTTGTTTTACTTAACTGTGGTGGTGAAACAGCTTGTACACAAGAAGAGATGAACAAAGTTATGGAATCAGCAAAAACAGCACAAAAATCATGGGCTAAGACACCACTCTGGAAATGGAATTTTCTTTTTCTAAGTATGAAATTTCCCATCTTCCACTCCTCATTGCCTGTGCTACATACCTTGTTGATTACAAGTCTGATTTTCATAATTAATTAATAAAGTCCAAATATAAAGATAAATAAATTTAAAAAATTAAAATTACATTGTCCCAGCATATGGGCTCAAAGCATTTCTTTAATTTTTTTTAAAAATATATGCAACTTTGATTTTAAAAGTTTACGATAATTTTATATCATTAAATGTTAATTATATTTGATCTTATATTTTTTGTATTTATATTAATACTATATCTTTGAACAATTTTTAGGGAAAGAAAAACTTTATAAAACTTGAATAATTAATTAGTTATAGCTGTGGACACATAATCAATTAATGCAAAGCCAAAATAATCAAATAAGGTAGTAAAAGGGATTTCTTGCACATGGATGCCACATGTATGGTCCAATTAATGAAGGGGCCAATATAATAGGTCTATTTATTAATATAATTATCATAATAAATATTTTATTATAACATTTAAAAAGTAATCATATTAATATTTTAATTAAATCATAAGTTAAAAAACTTATAATTTTATTAAAATCTTATAATTTTATCTATGGTAATATATAAGTCAGGTAAATATCAGATCAGATCATTAACAAGTCGGATTATTTACATGTCAGGTTAAAAACAGGTCAGGTTGAAACAGGTCGGGTAATACCAGTTATTTACCAGGTCAATCTCGGGTTCAGGTTCATATTAGTCAGATGCAGTTCGGGTTCAGGTATCATATTTTCGGTTCAATTCGGGTTCAGGTCGGGTTCGGATCCATAATTTACAGGTTCAAATCGGGTTCAGGTCAACACCAGTTCCGACTCGAGTCGGTTTCGAATCGCCACAATATAGGTCAAAAACAGTTTTAACTCAGGTCGGTTTCAATCAGTTTTACGAATCGGATCAACTTTTTACAGCCTTAGGTACATTGGATAACGCAAAGCCTACAAAGATATTGATAAGTGCGAAGAATGGGGAGACCAGAGGGCTGCCGAGGTAGGATGCGATGACAGACCAGTCGAGTGCAAAGGATCCAATGCCGACCCCGAGCATTCCCGATCCGATTTGATGGGCTGTTACTGACTTGGGAAATGCCCAGCAGACCCAAGAAATGGTTGACAGTGTCTGGAACAAGTAGCCTGGAAATACATACCAGAAGAAACTGCAAGCAAGTGCGATCAAGAAGAATTTCCCTCGAGACATGCGACTGCCGTCATTCTCATACATTTCCCTGTACAATTTATGTATCAAGATTATTTGGTAGATTGTGACTTTTTCATTTCCTTCGAGCATTAAAGAGCAACATATAAGCAATATTCAGAAGTTTTAAAAAACTTCAATAAAAAAATCTATAATTTCTATTGATGCAATGAAAGATCGAAAGTGGTGCCATTCGATGACAAACAGCCAGAAATGGATAGCCTGCATGACAGGATGAACACTAGAACGCTATTAAATTGAACAGCCTGAAAGGTTAAAACTCCAAAACTTAATAGTAGTTCACTCTGATCAAGAGGCATACAACAAGCATAAAACGACACCGTTCGACTGTTCGCTTCACCTGAAAAGAGAAACTTGAACCAGGTTATTTGGCCACCACATTGCCGCAGGTTACACCACGAACTTCCTCATAATCCCCGCCCATCCATACCCCAACTCCTGCCCATAGTGTTACTATTTTTAACAAAAGAGTTTCAATAACCAATTAATTTCGATCTAGTGGGAATTGTAAACTGCGTGGTGATGACTAGAATCCAACTAGCCAAGAAACTGATCTTTCTATGATAAAAAGCCCGAATAATATTCACGATGCTGATAGCATAAGCCGTGCCGCCACCAAACCCCGCCCCAGCATCGGCAAAGATAGAGATCAACACGTGTTCTTTGACGTTAAACGGGCCAGGGTTAAGCGTAAACTCCAGGTTCCCAACGGGGATCTTAAACTTGGTGGTCGGTAGCACTTTAGCCATGAATTTTCCAACGGTGAGTGACGCAACCTATATGGATATCATGGTAACCTGGAGTGGCTCCGACCGGTAACTGAAGAAGGTGTTGAGGAACGAAAGGAGAACACACGAGAGGACTCCGATGAACCACATTCGGAATGTCCAAACAGGGAGCGTAGTGTCATCGTCGCTAGAAACAGTTAGACGAACTTCTTCGATGGGGGAAACATCATCTTGGTCGGCAGCCTGAAAGACATCGCCGTCGTCGACGCTGGCTGATTCTATCTCGAGAGTCGACATCGAGAGTGTGGGTGGCTTTTTTGGGGGGTGTTCGCTAGAGGGATAAGATTAAAAACGGGTGATTTTCTTAACCGTGGGGGATCTCTGAAGGTGATTCTCACGTATAAATTTGTTTCACAGATTCTATGGGATTCTTTTACTTGAACTCCCATCCCTTGAATAATGCATTAACGAGCGATAAACAAGCTATAGAGAAAATCCTTAAGAATTGCATGTGGAAGTTTTCTTGATTCTTGGATTTATACTTCCAACAAACTGGTTTGTATTAATATTCATTCAGCTTTTAGTTTAAAAAAATAATAAGATTTGTAAAACATAATGATATTAAAAGATAAAATTTTTAAACATCAATAATAACATACTTTTTTAAAATACATTAAATGTCTGTTTTTTATTCATTTACTTGCTGAGACTTCAGAAAAAGGTAGCAGACTTCAACATATTACAATATTAAACGTGAAGCTTAAAATGTTGGGCACCCATCAACCGAGATCCCCTTTGCGGTGGGGCAATATGCTAGATCACAATGCTCGGGGAAAATATCAGGACTGGCACCCCACCAGTTCAAACTCTTATTCTCAATCCCCAGTGCAAAGTAAAGCAGCACTGTCATGAACGCTACCCCTGCATCCAAAGCTGCTGATAGGATATAGTTATATCTCTGCCACCATTGCTTTCGATACCTGAATACGAAGAAGTTGAAGATAGTTCCAACAATAATCCAGGAAGAATAGTTCACCGTCGTTGCCGGTGGCATGTAGCCGGTTGCGCCTAAAAGCACTGGTAGATTGATAAGGGGGATCCATGTCTGATTTGGGAATGCCTTGTGCAAGAGCCATACTACAACGGGTCCCAAAAGCCCTCCTAGGAAGAACCAGTTAAGTGATGAATACAACCCTTGCGATCCGAAAATCTTTTTCGGTCCAACCAAACCCCAGATAACAGATGCGTCGAAGAAGACCCTGTCGTTGGGGCATGTCCAAGGACTATTTGCTGGGAGAAGATTTCGATGGCATATGTTCTCGATAGATGTTAGAAGCCACCAGGCCACTCCAAGGTTTACTGTTCCAGCTAGCATAGTTCCGATGAACTGATATGCAAGTACAACAATGAAATGAAATAATGTAAGAGAATTATGGAAGTAAATGCAGAGAAATTAATCTATAGAAGTAAACTAAAATACCTGAACCAGGAACATTGATCTCGGAGGGATTTTCATGTAATGACCAAGCTTGAAATCACTAAGAAAAGACACTGCCTGAGCCATGCTCATGTACCCATAGGTCTTGAAACACACATTGGTTATTGGTTGTCCAGGCAATATTACTCCCATTATATATTCTGTAATGATATTAAGCCCTGGTGTCTGCAGGTAAATAGCATAAACAATCATCAATTGAGTGAAAATGTTTAAGAACATTATCCTTGTTGATGAGAAAAACAGTGATCTTAAATTTACTTGATTTGTCGTGGCAGTTATTATGCTGATAGGCAAAGTGAAAAAGAAAGCAAGTGCAGCAGCAAATATCAGCCCCCACCAAGGCATTTGGACGTCCTTTTTAAGGAAGATGAAGAGTGCAAAACCGACAAGAATGGAGACAGCAAGAAGCAAATAAAACCACCATGAAGGTATGTCCTTATAGGTTCTCATTAACTTTGTGTGAACATCAGCCTTTTCCCTAGAAGAAGCTCGATATCGACTATAGATCTCCCTGTAATCAACGTGGTTTCCCCCCCCCATTAAGGATGGATATCAAAAGTAACAATGAAGTTTCCTTTTGAAATAACAAAACAATTCTTACCTTCCGTAGAACAAGGCCACATGTGTTACCGTGGAAGCAATAGTAGCGAACCCAAATCCATAGGTGATAGCGAAGAAAGTACTCAAATGGACCCTCCCTATCTTATCATACTCTTGCACGTCAAGCTCGAACTTGTCGTTAACGATCTTTGAAATGTTATAAGACTGACCTTGAGCGGTGAACAAGTCCGATGAATATATGGGAAAAGTTTTCGCGTTGAATAGGTTAAGCCCCCAGTAAGAAACTGGCATCACAAAGTATATTATCAAGGCATAGCCTATGAAGACGTTTACAATGGCGAAGAAAGGGGAAACAAGTGGGCTAAACAAGAAAGAGGAAACCGTCGTCCAGTCAAGCGTGAAGGCCCCTATGCCCAGACCGTTCATGCCGGAGCCTATTTGGTGAGCGGTCACTGAATGGGGGAAGGCCAAGCACACCCAAGAGATGCTTTGCAACGTTAGGAAGAAGTAACCTGGGAAAATATACCAGCAGAAGCTACACACTAATGCAATCACAAAGAATTTCACTCGTGATATGCGGCGCTTGCCATCGCTATTTTCTTCTTTTTCGTGCAAAGTCCTGGAATATCATGATCAGCAGTAAAATTCATCACAAGTGTACAACATTGGTGAATGTTTTCGCTAAACAAAAGTATTTTACTGAAGACCACAGCAATTACCTGAAGAGAGAAACTTGAACGAGGGTAGAGGGCCACCACATATGCGCCGGCTCGACAACAAACTTCCTCAGTAGCCCCGCCCATCCATATCCCATAACCTGTGTAGTGATGATAAGAAGCCAACTAGCGAAGAAAGAGATGCTCCTTCCATAAAACGCCTTGATAATGGTAACAATACCAACAGCATAAACAGTGCCGTTCCCGAAAGCACTCCCAGCATTAGCAAATATCGTGATCAAAACGTGCTCCTTCATGTTAAACGGTCCGGGGTTAAGCGAGAACTCCCTCGAACTAAACCCGGGTATACGAAACTTGGTCGTAGGAAGAGCCGAAGCCATAAACTGTCCGATGGGGAGAGTCGCCACCTGGACGGTGATTTGGGTGATGACGAGCGGCTCGGTTCGGTAGCCGAAAAACTGGTTCAGGAAGGAAAGAAGGGTGCAAGAGAAGAGACCCAAGAACCACATGCGGAAAGTCCATACTGGGAGTGAAGGATCATCGGTGTTGGGTACTGTTAAACGAACTTCTTCTATCGGGGACAGCTCGCTTTCATCAACTAAATCCTCCTCTTTGATCGCTTTCTCATCTATTTTCTGTTTTGCTTCAATTTCCATGGCTCCCATTGTGAGCAGTGATCAAAACCAAAGAGAGAAGGGAAACAGATGAAAGAGTGTTAAGCTGCAATATGACTTGCTTCTTGTTTAGCACATCAATGTCACCTTTTATTGTCCACTACGCCTTTAGTTGTCCCCGGCAAATGTTCACTTTCATTGTGTTTATTTTAATTATAATTATATTTTTCAAATCAAAACTCGTTTGTGGAAAAAAACACAAATCGTTTATTAAAAATGACGAAAAGAAAAATACATAATTGTAAGGTCAACTCTTTCGATCGATGATTTCTATGTGGTTGTTGAAGTTGTTTAATTCGATAAGATTGATTGGAAAAATTACAAATTAATGGGTTGAAAATAGGACAGTAACATCAATTTGGAAATAAACGAAACAAAAGGAGAGGTCATGGTTGCCCAAAGTGTCTGACTAATTGTTATTGTTACCTAGTATTTAGTATTAATTATAATTATGGGAGCCATCACTTAATTGTTCATTACGTTGTAAGTTGTAATACAGCCAGCTAGGGTTCATATAATGGGAAAAACGGCTAGATTCTGAAACTCCGTAGATTCCAATTGCTTCGGGCATGGACTAATTAAAAATTAAAAAAAATTAAATTGTTTCAGCCTGCGTTTATCTCAAGGAAAATATAATATATGAGTTTTTTAATGTATTTTTCTGAATAATTGTAACAATTTTTTTTGTTTTGTTTATACTTATAATGGGGTAAATTATAAATTTAATCCACATATCTAAATTTGATAAATTCAGTCTTTGTATTTTTAAAATTTTAGTTATTATCGAATCTTAATTGTTAGATCTATTAAGTTAATTTTTATTGTTTGTCTTATATTATGTATAAGTTATTAATTGATTTTATACTATTCAATTTCATCGTTTTAAGCCATTGTAATTTAATTTAATTATTTATATGTTAAACTTAGGGTTTGTCCTATTTTTCTCTTTTTTTTCTTGGTCGTCGTTGATTTTTCTTTTCTTCATCTTTGTGATTGGTAGCGACATTAGTCTTGGTGCTGATCGTCGACTGCTAATATTTAATTGTTTTTCCTTTACTTTATCATAGTGTATCTTTATTTTTTATTTTAATAATTATGTCTTTATGGCACGTTTTTTTACCCTAATTGCATATTTTTCTCTATCTTTATGGTACGTTTTTTGTCGTTTGATTGTTATTTTCGTTTATTCTTTTTTCAGGGTTATATTTGGCATAACCATGACTTATCAAAACGATGTTTTATTTGTCATCGTGCTGATCTTCCTTGCTTTGGACCCTCTAATTGGATTTAGATACATAATTTGAGTTCGTGGATAGTATTTTCGCATCGCTCAATTGTGATTTGCGATTTTTCGTTGGCATTTCAGTAGCTTCGCCCCCTTTTTGTGGTTCGTTGTCGATACAATCAGATCTATTTGTATCTACCTTTTATCCGAATTTATTTAGTTAGGTTTTTAAACATTTTCCTTATATAGTCCTGTGATCTTAAGTGGCTAGTTTTTCGTGTTTAGGAAAATATCTTTATTATTTGTTTAATTTATTATTATAGTTGTAAACTTTCATTTGTAATTTAGATATTTTATATTTTTAATAAATTTAGCAGTTTCTGTAAAAAACATACTAAAGTTTTAAAATTTTAAAAACTAAAATCGATAAATTAGTGTAATTAATAAATATATAACTTATGCATTATACATAAATTAATGTCAGAATTTAACCTAAAATAATAATGGTTGATTCAAATTTTATTATACAAAAATATAATGTGAATTTAAGATAGACGAAAAAATAATATCATTTGTTACTATATAAAATTATGTGAGTTTTAGTATATACAATTTTCAGATTTTATATAAAAAAAATATGTTAATTATGTTTTGATCAACATGATAGTAAAGATATATTCGAGTTTTATAGTAAAAACCATATAATGTGTGGATTTGGGTAAATGAAAATATGATAAAGTTATTATCATTATTATTATTATTATATGAAACTTTAATAAAAACGAAAAAGTATTTCTTTCTCCTTTAACATATATTCGAGTATTTCATGACAGCTGTGGAGCCCTCCATGGAAGATCTGCATGGGAAAGCTGTAGCCTTGCATTACTCTATAAGCCGGGTATTAATGAGGTAGATTAATACCTTGGACTGAACCAATCTTCAATTCTCAACCATATGATTTCCCGCTACAATCACATAACCTATAATTTTCGCAAACAGAACAACGAATAATAGGGAGAAGGACAGCGGCGGCGTCACTATCATTCTACAGAAAATTATTTTCTTCGTCTACTTTCAGCAAGGTTTAAGAATTCAATATAACCTGAAAAAGGCTTACGTGAAAGAAATCAACAACTTGATTTACAGCCATTTCGAAAAAATCTATTTTTTCTTACACACATCGAACACTGTCAAAGTTAACACCATTCAAAAGATTAAATTAAATTGTTGAAAAGTTCCATAAGAAATCGAACAATTGACCAAAACCTATAAAAATGTACTATGCAAAATACTATATTATAGTTATTACTCGACAAACAAAACAATACTATCAATTTGCTATTCATTTCACAAAGAAGAAGTTGGGGGAAGAACCTTAGATTTCAACGCAACCTTACCATCTTGATTTAACGCCGGAACACCACCCACTAGTGTCATCAACGGCACCACCTGATATGGCGGCGCCGTGTAATACACCTGTCTTCCAGCCCCATCATAAGCCACCTGTACATACCCTGAATCAGGAACCCCGCCCTTCGATTGCGTAACTGGGATTCCCTCAGCGTAAGCACCAACCTTTGAGGCTGGCACCGCATTGTAAACCGGTTGCTCTCGGTAAACATCTTGAACAACATGTGGTACGCCGTAGTAAGGTTGACCGGCTGGTATGATCACCTGTCGTATCTTTGGAGGCTGCTGATAAACACCGGCTGCGGAAGCTGGAATTAGGTAAACCTGTTGGTTTCCCATGGCAGCGGCTGCAGTTGCCGTTAAGCAGCGTTGGTTAAATATGCCGTTTGAATCAAAATTTGCAACGGAGCTGATATCGGTGCCGGTGAAGTGGTGATTTTATCTGACGTTTTAGAATAATCTTGAGTGCTGAAAGCTTTAGCGTTTGATTCATCAACTTTTCTCTGCAAAATGCCTTGTTCTTGAGTTGCAGCAATATGCATCCTCTGTAACTCCTGGATCTGTCTCTGGATCTCCGCTGGAAACATCATCGGGTCCGCAATTACATGTCGGTCCTCCGAATCCGCAGTCCGATCCCACTGTCACAACAACCTCCTGTGGAGCCGCCGCAACCGGAGGAGGTAAAAAATCCGGCACCTTCACCTTATCCAAACCGAAGAGGAAATCAAGATTCGTCACCGGCACCGCAGCAGCTGGAGGCAAAGTGGCATCAAGATTTTGAATCTGACCCGAATTCAAGGCGTCAACAAACCATTGCCGCTCAGACTTCAGTTCACTCCCTTCAAATCCTGGCGCCACTAACGGTGGGTTCAACGGGAATAAAAACAGCCTCAACCGGGCCGGTTTGGCGGAGACACGATGCGTCCGACCATATTCCACCATCATATGCTCCAGATCTTCATCATTTGTAACGGAAATCAAAGCGTCGAGATTTTCACCGGGAAGCCGATACTTGAAATATACCTCACAATCCCCACCGTGGAGAGAAGATAACTTGGCCATTATAGCAGAAAACTTTATGTTGTGATCAACGGCCAGGATCTTCGTATCTCCACCAACGTAAGCGAGCTGGTTATCGTGTGAACGCGGCTGGATTTTGCCCCCATAACTGCACATAACCTTTTTATTAGAATTACTCGTAGCGTTCATCAACGGCGGGTCGTCCCATGACTGGTTTTCGCATTCCATTTCTCGATAGTGAGGCGAAGAATCGTCGGATTCTGGATAAGAAGAGTAGGGAAAGATTTCCATGGGATTAATTTTGTGAGGTTTGAGGGGTTTATTCTTATGGTTCCTTTAAAAGATGAAAAACGGCGGAGAATTGAAGTTTGATTATGACTTAAAGAACAATGTGGACGCAGTGGGCCCAGCTGGAACTGGTTGGATTGGAAATAAATAATTAAGAAACGTGACAACAAATGTTTTTCTCCTATCATAAAGTTTTAATGAGAGGGTAATTATAATTTTTAGTACTTAATTTTAATATTTATTTGTGATTTGATTTGTGATTTTGATTTTTTTAATGTAATCAGATATTTATTTTTTATGAAATTCAATATTTAATATTTTTAAATTAAAGTTTTGGATAATCTAATTTCATTATCTAAGAAAGCAGAAATCTGTTACAAGAATACCAAGTCCTTACAAAAACAACAACAACCTTTATCACAGTAAAATAAACACATTAGAACCACAACCCCCTGTTAACAGCAAAATAATCTACCCCCGAACCAAGCAAAAGACAACATGGAAACAGTGAAGTAAGAAGCCCACAACTCACGATATACCCCAATTATCACAGAGGGTAACATTTATTGAGTCAATTCTGTTAATAGGCCAGCCACCCAACCGGATCCAAATATCACCTCTAATGTCCTCCAATATAGCATTCATCGGTCTAGCCATTCCTCCAAACAACCTGTGTTTCTTTCTCTCCAGATGACATACAAGTAACTCGTCAACGCAAGCTTAAACACTCTTGCAATGAGGGATTTGCCCTTAAAGCAGTGCGTAGCCCATGCTAGCTCACCATCCCAGTGACTTACTCTGCGGTTAACACCACAAAGTAAAAGAATAGCCTTCCAAATATTTTTAGCATAATCACATTCGAAGAAACTATGGCTCCTAGTCTCCGGCACCATATCACAAAAGAGGCACTTAACATTTTCCATGATTATTCCCATCCGCAGCAGCCTCACCCAGGTAGGGAGTCTATCCAAGATAGTCATCCACAAGATTATATTGTGCTTAGGAATACGCCCGGGAAACCAAACCAGGTGATGCCAAACAACCTTAGGGGCCATAGTGCGTATGTCCTCCCAAATCTGTCTCGTGCTGAGTTCACTGCCTCAATCAACAAAGAAGTGACAGACAGTAGGCCTCATTTTCAATAACTTTTTAAAACACCACCTTGCATTCGTAGGTGGGCTCATATGCCAAAAGTCTAAATTTTTTATTACATAGGATCGAGTCCAAGCCACCCATAAGGAGCCCTCCTCTACCTATAAGTTCCTAATCAATTTCACAGAGCAAGCCCTGTTCCAGCCAAGGATATCAATAACACCAAGGCCCCCTTCAGACTTCAGTAAACAGATCTGCCTCCAGCTCACCTGAGCTCCCTTGGCAGGCATATCAACTCATTTCCAGAAGAACCGAGAGCACAATTGCTCGACTTTCTTGATTACCCCAAGAGGTAGTATAACTTGTTTGCACTAGTAATTAGTTAAGCTAAACAAGACAACACACACCAACTGCAACCTACCAGCAAAACTCAAGTGTTTCTTAACCCACAGATTCAGCCTCGCTATGATTTTATCGATGAGACTAAGATAGTCCCTCTTTATGAGTTTCTTGGTCACCAAAGGAATTCCTAAGTATCGAACAGAGAGATTACCTAATTTGAATCATGTGATCTCACTAATATTCTTACAGTGAGCATCAAATAACCCAGATACAAAAATCTCACATTTGCTCACGTTAAACTTCAACCCCGATATAGAATAAAAAATGTCCAGCACAACTTGGACACCGTTAATAGAATTAATTGAGGGTTTGTAAAAGATGAGAAGATCATCTGCGAAACAGAGATGGATTAAACCAATCTTTTTACACTTGGGATGAAAATTGAAGATCCTCTTGAGAGCAACCAAGTTCAAAAGACTAGATAACACATTCATGGCAAAGACAAAAAGATAGGGTGAAAGAGGATCACCTTGCCTAACACCTCGAGCACCCCTATAATAGCCAACTAGGCTATCATTTATTACAATCGAATAACTAGGCTTAGTAAAACAAGCACAGATCTAGCCAATAAATTTTCCAGGAAGGCCTAAAACAGTGAGCACAACAGCTATGACGTCCCAGTTAAGTGAATCAAAAGCCTTTTGTAAATCCAACTTCATAGCACACCTAGGGGATATGTTCTTTCTACTATAGCCCCTAACAAGATCCTGAGCAAGGAGAGTGTTATCCACAATGCTCCTCCCTTTAACAAAAGCAATTTGGTTCTTAGAAATCATGCTAGGAAACACAGTAGACAAACGCCTAACTAAAATCCTGGCAATGGTTTTGTATATCACTGTGCAACAGGATATAGGCCTAAAGTCCTTAACTAAGCCGGGGTTAGGCATTTTTGGGACAAGGACAATAACTGTGGCATTAAAAGTAGGGATGATAAATGATCTGTCAAAGTAATACCTGATAGCAACAACAAAGTCATCACCAACAATGGACCAAGCTTTCTTATAGAAGTAAGGGTTATAGCCATCCAGCCCAGGAGACTTGTCATTTCCTTTCCCCCAAATAGCTTCTTTAATTTCAATATTAGACACATCTCTGCATAAATCAGGATCAGCTCCCACAGGGAGAGAATAGTTGAAGAGGTCCTTAATAGTTGACATATTACTGCCCTGAACATTTTCATTTGTCATTCCCAACTGGTTTTGAAAAAACTGGATCACCTCGTTGGATATGCCATCAAAAGTATCGAATCTAGCACCAGATTGGTCATAGAGGACCCTAATTATACTACTCTTCCTTCTGCTTGCCACCAATGAATGGAAGAATTTAGTCACTTGATCCCCCTCCTTGATCCAACTAGCTTTGGCTTTTTGCTTGTAAAAAAATAACTCAGTATCTTCAAGGTTTTTCAGCTCCTTTTCAGCTTGGAGTTCACTGCTAACATTACTGCCAGCAGAACCCAAGTTTAAATTTGCAAGATGAATACTCAATGGCTCATCTTTTTTCTACTTCACCTTATTCGAAATATCATTGAAATGGGCTCTATTAAAAGCCTTGAGAGAATATTTCAATCGCTTCAGTTTATGGAACAAAACCTGAGTTGGGTTTTCATCAATTGGTTGATGCCAAGATTCCCTAACAATGGTCAAAAACTCAGGGTGTAATACCCAAAAGTTAAAAAACTTGAAAGGCTTAGGCCTAGCAACAAGGGCTGTCTTGTGAAGCCACATTAATGCAGGGCAGTGATCCGAGTCACCAGGGGCCTGAAATTTCACAGTTGAGTCAGGAACTACATCAATCCATATCGGATTTACCAGTACACGGTCAAGCTTGCGGGCCAAATAAGTATCATGCTGCTTATTCGACCATGTGAATAGGGGACCAATCGAAAACCCCCAGGTTTTCCACACAATTTTGAAAATAAAAAATGTCAGCTAAGGTCAAAGAACTGACACTAACCGAGCTCTCCTCAGTATTCAGGATGACGTTAAAGTCACCACCTATCAGCCATGACAGATTCCCCACAGTGCATCCCAAAGAATTAAGCTGATTCCATAATTGTCTTCTACCATTACCATCATTCAAGCCATAAACAACAGTAAAGTAGAAATTGTTCCCCCTCAAATAAACCTCTAACAGAAACACTTTGATCAAAAACAGAAACAACAGTGCAGTTCATACTCCTATGCCAAAGCACCCAAATTCAACCGTTAGCTACGTGATTATAGTTACAACAAGTATCTCAGTCACTAAAACTATGGTTTAAAATATTCACAGAGTTTCCCACCTTAACTCTAGTTTCCAGTAGATAGAGAATGTCAATTTGGTAATTAGTAGCCCATCTCATCGCTTTCCTTTGCTTGTGAGGATTATTGAATCCTCGAACATTCCAAAAGCAGATTATCATGAGGAAATGAAGGAGGAAGAGATACCACCTCTATCCTCCGCTTTCTTTACTTTATCGACCTGCTCTTTCTTTTTTGACTTGAAGTCCTGAACCAATTTTGCCACACCAAATGAAGGTGCTCATTGCTTCTTACCAGAGTCCTCGACATACAGTAAATTTTTAGGATCAATGGAACTGAGAACCTCAAATTTGTTCTTAGAACCCCCCATAGCAGTTTTACCTGGTCTACCTCTCCCATGCTTAATATGAGGGTTACTTCCAGAACACCCCTCTTGAATATTCTGCTTAGCATCACTTATAGTTACTTCCCCATAAACACTTCGAGCTTTATCAGGACATATTTCTTCTACCGCTTCAGAATTACAAAGAGCAATATGCTCAGTATGACTATTACCCTCAATATCTATTCCAACATTTTTCCCCTCAATCTCAACGACACTATTATTTATTGTATCATCTTGTTTTGTCACCTGTACAATAGCTTTTACCCTCTATTCTTGTTTCTTCCCCAGATGATAGAATTTCACAAAGTGTCCAAATCTCCTACACTCAACACATGATGCAGGTCTCCAAGGCACAATGGCCTGAATTTGGGCTATAGACTCATCACACAATAACACATCTATATAATCTGGAATCTTAGTATTTACAGTTACTTCTATACAAACTCTAGCAAACTCAAGTCTCTCCCTAGAAGTTGTAATAGAGTCCATGTGTAAAGGCTTACCAATTGCGCTTGCGATGTAACTGAGTTCTCTCTTTGAAAATAACTCCAGAGGAACATTGAAAAGTTGGATCCAAATTGGCATACGATCCAGGTCGAAGTGCAGCTCCTTTAAATTTGGCTCATATTTCCCGAGGAAGAGAGGCTTATGCTAGATATGCCAGGGACCATTCTCTATAACCCAGCCCCTGGCAGAAGAACTAGTAAAAGAAAAAACAAATAAGTTTGATCCAACCATGCTCACCTTCACCGGCGCAACTTTACCCCAGATCAGTTCGATTGTCTTCTGCAATAATCTAAAATTAGGGGTTGAGCCAATAAATTACCCAACTAGGGCATACCTCTATTCCAGAATCCCCTCCTCAAATACGTACTTCAGAGGCTTAACGACGAGCGAGCCTTCAATCTCCGTCGGAGGAAAAAATTCTAATTCCTGCGCATTACCCGCCGCGAACAGTTTTCTCCAATCCGTAGTAGATCTAGTAGACATCGCCTAACAAAATCCCTAGAAACCGTCAGCAGAAGCAAGAAAGAGTCAATCAAGAAATCAAGAAGAAAATGATGGCTCGTCTTCAATCGCTGTTAGTCCTGCTAATATGCACCGAGAGAGAAGGCTTAACGTTCGCCATCCACTATTCAAAATGTTATTATAATTAAATTTTATTTTATCTGTTTTATTTTTATTAAATATATATCATTGGATTCGATACTAATTAGAGACCGATATTAAACCCATAAACGGATGAAATAAACTTTGTAGATGCGGTAAACATAAAAAACTTTTATCTTATTTTTTCTCGACAGATCTTCCCATTGTTTTATTAGGTGGAAGTTTTTGAAGACGCGGGAAAGATTCGCTTTGGTATGCCACTCATTTTCCAATGCAGTGAGGTTGTTGCCGGGCCCATCTGGTAATAAGCTGCAAAAATAGTAAAAAGTAAACAACACTGATGGTCATGGTTTTTCTTCTATCAATTAGGGTCTGTTTGGTTGGGGGAAAACATTTTATGGTAAAATGTTTTCCCCCTTTTCCTGTGTTTGGTTCCCGTAAAACAATGAGGTCAATGCATTTTGTTTCCCAGTCAACGGAAAACTTATAGGAAAACACGGTAAAATGACTTACCGTTTGGAAATCCGTAAGTCATTTTCCATCGTTCTCCCATCCCTTACTCTATACTAATTCTGAACTTCGTTCTCCCGTCTATTGCTCCACACCGAAAAATTTGGTCTCCTTCTCACCAGTGAGGCAGGCGGTCATCTTCTCAGGTATCACTCTTTTCATCTTCTCTATAAGCTTTCATCTTCTTCTACTTTACAAATCCCCCGAGGTGTACATTATCATAACCTCTAGTTGGGGATTTCATTGAAAGAAAGTGAAAAAGGATGAAAATTCACGAATACCCATCTCGTTTACCTCGGTCCTCGCCTTCTTTGCTTGGAGATTCCATTGAAAAGCTTAAAGATTTTTGCAGTTTCGCCTTCTTTTTCTCTTCTTCTCTCTTCTTCTCTGTTTTCCTTCATTATTTCTATTAAAGCTTTTTAGATTTCTCGTTGCAGATCTATTTTTATATAATTTTGTTTTCTTTCAAAGCATCCATACTACAATAAATTGAATTTGATTTCTTGTTAAATTAGATTTCTCATATTAGTGTTTTGTTCCAAGTATGATATTATGTGGATTAGAGATAAACCAAATTTTGTTGTTGTTCTAATTTGTTGGATTACAATACTATGAAAGAATTTTGCTAGCAGACAAAGCAATTTTTGGATGAATTTGTTATTACATTTAGCTCCAAAATACACGTAGAGTTAATGACAATGTTGTTTAGTTTCCTACAATTAATGCTTGAGACTGAGATTAAGCTTGATGTAGTCAAATATTGGTGAAGAGATTGACATTTTATGTGTGCAGTGGGCACCCTGTTATGGGTTGCGGATTCCTCCGAGGGGCTGCGGTTGGGGCTATTTCTGGAGCGGTTTTTTCAATCGAAGTTTTTGAATCTTCTCTTGTTTTTTGGCAGTCTGATGAATCCTAGATCGGATGTTTGCTCTATTTGGTGAGCAGTTTTGTTTATTATCCTGATTTCACTGGTTTAATTTGGTTGATGGTTTCTATATCAAATGGCATTTTGCTTATGATATTCATTTTCTGTTATCATATGGGAGCTGTTGAAACAGCTTTTGAGGAGGTCCAGAACATCTTCGACACCGACGATGTTAAGGGATTGATAGGAGATTTGGTTGAAAAAATCCCAAAGATCATAAACACTCAAAATAACATTGTTGATGCTTCTGGGGATAAAGTTTCCTGTTCAGTTTGCCTTCAGGTCCAAGTCCATCCATACAGATCAGGGAAACTCAATTGCTTTGATGTCCCTTTTTAGGTATTTTTATCCATTTCTCATGTTATAGTTTTGCTTTGGTCCCAAATTTTGACCTGTTTCTGTATTATATTTGTAAAATATCTTGTATAATTCTTTTTCAATTTTCTAAACTTGCAAAACCAATTGGTCATTTAATTGTAACCCTTCACAGGTGAAAGATTTAATCAGTATATCGGCTGAGGCTTACACTGGTGAACAAATGCTCAAGATGGTATGCCTTTTCTGATGATGGAATGCAGTTTGAACTTCTGAGAAACTCTGGTGTAAGGAGGAAACTTGGCGTAAGACAAGCAACTCTTCACATTATTTATGTGAGCTTTAAATGTGGTGTATTATTATTTATGGCTTAGACAATATTTTAGTTCTAATGGGATGTAGTGTAGATTTCAGTATTTGTATTGTTGGATTGATGTGTTGTAGCACTAATTATGAATTAGACTATGTATTATTAAGTTTGGATATTATTGTTGTTTTAATGTGATAAACCCTTTAATTATATATTTTGACAATATTATTATTAGTACAATGTTATGTACTATTGTTGTTTTAATTTGGTGTACTATTAATTAAGCATTCTAAGGATTTATAAACCTTTATAATATATTTTTAATCAATTATTAATATTATCTAAAATACATATTTTTATAAAATATAATTATATATAAAAATGAACCTTTAAAAAATAATAAATAATAAAACATATTCAATATATACAACTTCTTCATTAACAACATATTCTGAAAACAGTTTTCAGAAAAATTACCCAAACAGTGTAAAACATTTTACAATGTAACATCCAAACACTGGAAAATGTCTTACATTTCTGTAAAACATTTTCCAGATTTCATTTTCCGTAAAATGTTTTCAGTGAACCAAACGCACCCTTAGCTGTTAACTCTCTATCCTTTTTTTTCCCGTACGTGATAGGTTAGTAAAAATAATTAATTTTTAATTTCATATAAAATATTAATTTAATTTTAAAATTTATATAAAATATTAATTTAATTTTTAAAATTTATATAAAATATCAATTTAATCTTTGTATTCAGTCAAAATTTATATTGTTAACGTCATTTTTTCACTATTATTGGTCATCTTGTTGATGATCATTAGACTTAAAAGTTTAATCCAAAATTTGTTTCACTGAAACATAAAACATCAACAATAGAAATTTTTTAAAAATGAAACTTAAAATTAAAATGTTGAGTTTAGAGTTTGAATAACCTATCAAAGAGTGAATCATGCTTAACTTGCAGACTGCCACGCCTAAGCATAATTAACTTCACTAAACATGCCAACACTCACAGATTGTCAATGTAAACTCCAACTTAAGCGGGTTTTCGATTCATTTCACGACTCTTTTAGACTGATTTAGCCAAAGAAACCATGGAGGAACCGAGAAAGTTCCGTTTAGGGACAACGTTAACCCTACAAATAGGGCAAGACGGGCCAACTTTAAGCCATGCATCAATGCAACTATCATTTAGACACCTTAGCCACCTGATTTTCCCCCTTGGAGACCTCACTAATGCACACTACGCAATATTAAACTTTACGGCTGCTGTTTTTGATGCTCCGCAGACCGCTTGTTATAAACAGGAAACCAACGAAAAAAAAAGCCGTAGAGTTCACTAGAAGATTCGTAATCCTCAACGACGTCAAGAACCTGTTCGATCATTTGCTTCCATGGCAGACCAATCATCTTCTTTAACGCTTTTTTTACTGTTTTCTTCTCATCCTTAGCTGAATGCTTCTTTGGCATCTTGAGATTGATTTTCCCTTTCCCACTTTTTTGCGGATGACATCAAAGCCATCCAATCAAAGAAATCAAAGAAAATGGATAGGCTATTTCTTATCTAAATATCTCTCTTTTATTGATATCAATACCGCTTCAGTTTCTAATTTTTCAAATTACATGGAGACTCTATTTGTAAACCAAAATCTCCACTTTCTAATTTTATCACTCCTCAAAACCCTCTACTTCTTTTTCATGACAACAACTCGCTCGAAGCCTAACAAGAATTTTGCTTCTTTGCTGTCTAAAACCAAGAAACAGGAACACATTTGAAGCAAATATCGAGATGAATCCTAAGGTGAAGCATCAACAGCGGGTCCTGAAGTGGAAGATGGCAGAAGATATTGGAGAAGATATGAAAATGTGAAAACTTTGAGTATTTGGTGAAATGAAAAGATGGTAGCAATAACAATTGGGTTGAAGAAAAGAAAGGTGTTAGGGTTGGAGAAAGACGATGGATACGGAAGTGGAGAAGAGAGGAGTATTTTTGACACATTAATTATTTTATTTTTAATTGATTTTTATCTATTCAAATATAAAAATGTCAAAATTAAATGGTGAAGTGCCATGTTTTAATTAGTTATTGGTTATTTTTTAATGGAGTTAATATTTTAGGCAAAACGTATCGAAAAATATTTTAATGAGCGATTCAATACAAATGGTACACTCCAAGGGTAATAGTGCATTTAAGCCAAATTTTAATAATATAATTTAATATGCATTTGTGTAATTTACCCTAAACTATTTATGAGACTTATGAAGAAGCTCATACAGAGAGACCACTGGTTAAACGAAGCCCATTACCCAAGTGGTCAAGTCCTCAAATAAATTCAGAGGCCTAACCAAATGAGCAACTGCAAAAAACCGTTTCTAGTCCATTGTAGGCAGGACCGCGCCGTTTTTCTCATGATTTCAATTTTCATTTCTAGTTCTTATTGTTAGCTCTGAAATCCCAAGTGGTTCGGCTTCGTTCTGTTTTTCACCGAAGTCAAAATCATGGTGAAAGCAGTGGTCGGAGAGGAAAGCAAACTCCAGCTAGCCGAGTTGCGTCTCTCCCAATCTTCAGCTTCGGCTCAGGTTCACTACTTTTTATTTTCGAAATCAAATTACAGAGATCGATGAATTCTGAAGAATTTCACGATAAATTCATTTTCTCCCTTTTGAATGCAGGTTGGTTTGGTGATAGGGAACCTCAGCTCCTGTCTGGACCGCGGTTTCGTGTACGGTCTACTACCCACTCCTCAAAACGATGCCGGACAACCAGTTTGTTTGGTTCTGGAGCCAGCGACAGAGAATAGGAAAAAGGGATCGAAACCCAAATCTCAGTCCTCCGATTCTTCCTCTTCTTTGGTCATTGACAAGGATTGGGTCGCTGAACATGCTCGCCAAGTGCGTTTTACTTTTCTTTGTTAACTTTAAATTAGTGAAATGATTTTGATTTTTCTCTTAAATTATGTAAATGTTATTGAATCAAGGTGTCGAGAATGATGGTGGGTGGAATCGGAGTAGTGGGTAATTATGTGTGGGCTAGCGAGGCCGCATTCAAGAATTCTATCCTGCTGCTTTGTCAGGTATTTCACTTATATTAGCTTCATTTATATTGAAGTTTGGCTTGTTTTTCGTTTACAGAATTTTTATTTAAAGTTTTGGCTTCATCATTATGATCTGAAATAAATGTAATGGATTTTGCAGACTGTGAAAGGAGTTGCTGAAGCAGCATCCCTTTTGGAGGATGACCTTGATGAAAGATTGCTTATTCACATATGTTATAGCCCAAGGAGGTATTTGCCCAAGGAGGTATTTTATAAGACAGACCCATAATAGTATTTCTTATTGATGTTTCACGCACCTCGGTTACTAAAGTTAAATTTCAATTTTGATCTGAAAATTAAACTTTTTTGGTAGATGGGCATGGGAAATTGTACGCTGTCATCAAATATTACATCAAGCAGCTTACGGCCTTGTGACTTCAAAATGGGAAGGGTCTTAACTGTTGAGGAATACTTGGTTCCAGAAAATTTGAAAATTGGAGGGAAGATAATGGCTGATTCCTCTCCCAATTCTTCTCCCACCATCCTTCCCTTCAACACCATGATCCACATGGTTACCATCAAGCTTTCCTCCTCAAAATATCTTCTATGGAAGAGCCAACTCCTTCCCCTCCTTGAAAGCCAAGGTTTACTGGGTCACGTCGATGGCACCCTTATGCCGCCACCTCTATTTGATCCTCCCACCTCTCAAACGCCAAATAATAAATACATGGCGTGGAAAGCAACCGACCAACGCGTCCTTAGTCTTCTCCTCTCCTCCCTTACCGAGGAAGCAATGGCTGAAGCCGTTGGCCTCTCTATATCCCGTGAGGTCTGGACTGCCCTTGAAAATACCTTCAGCCACCGCTCCAAAGCTCGTGAACTTCGCCTCAAAGATGACCTCCAATTGATGAAACGCGGCACTCGTTTTGTTACTGCCTATGCCCGTGCCTTCAAAACTTTGTGTGATCAACTACATGCAATCGGTCGTCCGGTTGATGGAACCGACAAAGTCCATTGGTTCTTACGTGGTCTCGGTCCTGAATTCTCTAGCTTCTTCACTGCCCAGATGGCACAAACCCCCTCTCCTGTTTTTCTGATCTTGTGTCTAAAGCAGAGAGTTTTGAAAATTTTCAAAAATCTCTAGAGACTCTGGCATCCTCAGCTGCTGCATTTACTGCTACCCGGAACTCTTCTCATCGTGGAGGTGGTTCTCGCCCACGCCGTGGCCGTGGAAATGACCAACGCAACAACTCCAATCACGGACAGAGCCGTACCAACACCACCCATAGTCGCCGTCCACCACGCTGTCGGATTTTCCGGAAGGAAAGACACTTTGTCGATCGGTGTAGACAGCGGTATGATCGGCCTGAATCCACGGCACACCTTGCAGAGGCTTTTACCTCTTCCTGCTCTTTATCCGAAAATGAGGCTTCTGATTGTTTTTTGGATACAGAGGCTTCGGCCCACATGACTCTAGCCCACTCCACTTTGGATCAGTCTTCCACCTACACGGGTAAGGATTCTGTAATTGTAGGGAATGGTGCGTCCCTACCCATTAACCACACCGATAAAATTTCCCCTCCCGGATATTCAATTGTTGAATGTTTTGGTTGTTCCCCATTTCACAAAAAATATTTTGTCCATTAGTAAATTAACTAATGATTTTCCCTTATCCGTTATCTTTACTAATGATTTTTTTACTATTCAGAATCGCCAAACGGGAAAGGTGGTGGCAACTGATAAACGTGATGGCGGCTTATATGTGCTAGAGCACGGAAATTCCGCTTTTATTTCTGTCCTTAAAAATAAATCTCTTCATGCTTCGTATGATTTATGGCATGCTCATTTGGGTCATGTGAATTATTCTGTTATTTCTTTATTGAATAAAAAAGGACAGTTTTATCTTACCTCTTTATTGCCATATACTAAATTATGCGATACATGCCAACTTGCAAAAAGTCATCGTTTGCTTTATTCTCGTAATGAAAATAGGTCGTTCAATGTGTTAGATCTTATTCACTGCGACATATGGGGTCCTTCACCAGTAAAATCCAATTTGGGTTTAGTTTACTATGTTTTATTTATCGATGATTATTCTCGCTTCACTTGGCTTTATCCATTGAAATTTAAATCTGACTTCTATGCTACTTTTATTCAATTTTAAAAATTTGTGGAAAATCAATATTCTACTCGTATTAAATTTTTTCAAAGTGATGGTGGTGCAGAATTTACTAGTAACTGCTTTAAAACACACCTTCGTACTTCTGGAATTCATCATCAACTATCTTGTCCATATACTCCCGCCCAAAACGATCGCGCTGAACGAAAACATCGTCATGTGACTGAAATTGGTTTGGCTCTACTTTTCCACTCTCACACTTCTCCTCATTTTTGGGTTGACGCCTTTAGCACTGCGGCTTACATCATCAATCGCTTGCCCACGCCACCTCTCGGAGGTAAGTCCCCTTTTGAGCTTCTATACAGTTCCCCTCCAAATTATGAAAATTTTCACCCATTTGGTTGTCGTGTTTATCCCTGTTTACGTGATTACATGCCTAATAATTTTTCCCCTCGCAATATACCTTGCATTTTTATGGGATACAACTCTTCTTATAAAGGGTTCCGTTGTCTTGATCCCACTACCTCTAGAATATATATCACCCGCCATACTCAGTTTGATGAGACTTATTTTCCCTTTTTGGATACCTCTCAGGCTCAACCATTATATTCCCTCAAATTTTCAAATTTTCTGGAACCAAGTATTCCTCCCACCACCATATCCCCACCTTCTCTTGTGCCCCATTCCCAGCATATTATTGAATCTGGATCCCGTTCATGTGTTCTTTGTACTGATACCGTGGATAAGTCTTTGCAAGCCCATGATTCTCTTGTAGGTCCATCTCTGCAGTCCTCCGATTCTGGCTCATCTTCTATTGAGTCTACTGAGTTGCCCTTTACTGCTCCTGTTGCTACCATTCCGATGAGTTCTCATCCTATGCTTACACGAGCTAAGGCTGATATTTTCAAACCTCGCCACCCGACGAATCTTGCTGTCTTGGGATCCTCTGGCCTTCTATCTGCTCTTCTAGCATCCACTGAGCCTAAAGGGTTCAAATCAGCTGCCAAGAATCTTGCTTGGCTTGCCACCATGGATGAAGAAGTTCAAGCTTTGCAAAATAATCGTACCTGGATTTTGGTCCCTCGTCCTGCCAATACCAACATTGTGGGCTCCAAATGGGTGTTTCGGACCAAATATTTGCCTGATGGATCTATCGAACGTCTCAAAGGCCGTCTTGTTGCAAAGGGATATACACAGGTGCCTGGTCTTGATTACACGGATACTTTTAGCCCTGTCATCAAGGCTACCACTGTCCGTGTTGTACTTTCCCTTGCAGTGACTAACCGATGGCCTCTCCGCCAACTTGACGTAAAAAATGCCTTCCTCAATGGTCATCTTACTGAACAAGTCTATATAGAACAACCTCCAGGGTATATTGATCCTCGCTTCCCCTACCATGTTTGTCAGTTGAAAAAAGCTATTTATGGCCTCAAACAAACACCTCGTGCTTGGTTTCAGCGATTCAGTTCCTTTCTCATTCACCTTGGTTTTTCTTGCAGTCATGCGGACACATCACTCTTTGTCTTTCACAGGCAATCCAACATCATTTATTTGTTGCTTTATGTTGATGACATTGTTATTACAGGCAACAATTCCTCTCTTCTTGACAGCTTTACTCGTAAGCTTCACTCTGAGTTTGCTACTAAGGATTTGGGTTCTCTCAGTTACTTCCTCGGTCTTGAAGCTACACCAACAACTGATGGCCTTTTTCTCAGTCAGCTGAAATATGCACGCGACATTCTTAGTCGTGCTCAATTACTTGATAGCAAGCCTGTTCACACTTCGATGGTTGTTTCCCAGCACCTGTCTTCAGATGGTTCTCTGTTTTCGGATCCTACTCTTTATCGATCTCTTGTTGGTGCTCTTCAGTATTTAACCATCACGCGTCCCGATATTGCTCATGCTGTTAACTCTGTCAGTCTATTTCTACACTCTCCGACTGATGACCATTTTCTTGCTGTCAAACGCATTCTTCTCTATGTCAAGGGCACACTGCATTTTGGCCTCTCTTTTCGTCCATCTGCTGCTTCCGATACTTTAGTTGCTTACTCCGATGCTGACTGGGTAGGATGTCCTGACACTCGTCGCTCTACCTCTGGTTATTCCATTTACCTTGGTGACAATTTGGTTTCCTGGAGTGCCAAGAAGCAACCTATCGTTTCTCGTTCCAGCTGTGAGTCTGAATACCGTCCTCTTTCTCTCACCGCCGCAGAACTTCTTTGGCTTACGCATCTCCTTCGTGATCTCAAAGTTTCTCTTCCACAACGGCCTCTCCTACTATGCGACAATAAAAGTGCCATTTTTTTGAGCTCCAATCCTATTTCTCATAAGCGGGCCAAGCATGTTGAATTAGACTACCACTTTCTTCGCGAACTTGTTCTTGCTGGCAAACTTCGGACACAATACGTACCCTCACACTTGCAGATTGCTGATATCTTCACCAAAAGTGTATCTAGGCCTCTTTTTCAATTTTTCAGATCTAAGCTACACGTCTGTTCCAATCCGACGCTTAGCTTGCGGGGGGTGTTGAGGATCCTCTACCATAATCTACGGCATTCCATATATAACCATTGACCCTCAATTATAGGAGCTTGTTTAGCTTTTTCTTTCTATTTATTTTGTAATCATATCTTTATTGTAATTAAGTTATACACTATGTAATTGAATATATATATGCAATTTCTCACCACTAACAAGTGTGGTGGTTTTTCATAATATTCTCATTAACTTCCCTTCAAACTTTTAAGTGCTTCTACAACTTTGATCTTTGGTAACCTGTATTACCTATTCCTCTTTTTATCTTAATCAAATCTTTCCCATCACAGAGCTCTATTAATTGGTTTGAAAATACCCGTTTAATTTGTCCTTGGATACAAGTGGAGTCCAGTCCACTTTCTTAGCATCTGTTCTTTTCCTGATTCATCATAGCTTCTGTGGTCCTTTTGGCTAAAGCATTAGGCTATCATATGAAAAGTCTTAATTTGCAACCTAGTTTCTCGTTCTACATTGTTGGTTCTCTATATACACACGTTGACATTTTCCAGCCGACTGTTTTAGATTCAAAAGAATATCTTTAATAATTTTTTTATCAACAGAGGTATAAGTTACCCAGGCTGCCTATATATCAAGAGAAAGCATTAAAATCTGAGACAGTTGGTGGTGTTCTTCGTAATGGAATTTTGAATTATGTTAAAGAGTTGCGAGATGCAAAAGCCATGATCGATGGGAACATGGTGAGAATCACTCTAATCAACCAGTTGAATCTTAGAGCATCTTATTCATTAATCTTCTATAATTATGGAATAGTATTCATTCCTTTTTAAATAAGTCAATTTACCTTTTTACTGATAATTCCTGGTCTTCTTTTTATATTTAGGTTGTCAATTATGAAACTTGCACAACAGATGGTTTGCATGAAGTTGAGTTGTTTCTACTGCTAATGAAGGATATGTACATTGAAGGTTTCCTGGCCTATTCAGTTCTTTAACTTAATTATCTTTTCATGTTTGTTATACTGTTAAACCTAACATTTAATAATTTGTTCAAATTTTGCGAAGCATGCAGCCAGAAAGATGTTGTAGGTATTGTCAATTTTACTAGCTCTGTATGTTCCTTTTCATTCTTGAATTCAAAGGAACCGATTTCACAGGCTGTTGCAAATATAAAGGTACCCCATTTTGTTGCTTTTACTGTTTCTAGAAGAATGAACGGTCTTATTCACTTGAGTGGCATGTGCTTGTTATTCTTGTCTTATGAAATTCAAATTGTTCATGGCTGTGATCAGGATGATGTCATCAGGAGTTTGCTAAGCAGGCCGGATATCATTTGTGATGAAGCGGGTGAAGATGTAGGGCCAAATGACGATGTAATTAAGGAAACAAGAAATGACTCATCTTCTGAAAAGCCAGTTTCCCAACTTGTTTTACACTCCTTGAAGTGGGTTAGCATAGTTGATAAGTCTTTATTCTATCAAAAGAAACTAACTCTAATTGGAAGACTTATTTACTGTCATTCAATCTCTAATTTTCTCTTTTCTCTATCAATCAATTTGAGGAGTGATGCTTTCTGTTCCTTAGATCTTTGCTTTAGGCTTTCTTCCACTGAATTACTGTACATTATTATTGTCATGACTTCATGCAAAAAATTTGAGATTTGACTATGTTGTGTCTGCATTATTGATTACATAAGAGAAATTGTACATTATTATCATGATGGCTTCATGCTAAATAAATTAGAAGTTCCAATTTATTGTTCGACTATGTTGTGGTTGCATTATTGATTACAGAAGCATAAATGTAGGTTTTTACCAACTTCTTACACAAGCGACTAGCAAAATAGCATGTACTAGTGTACTCGTTCTTAATCAATATTTTCAATTTCTATATACGTGTTTTCTTTCTTCCATATCCAAGCAAATTTTCATTATTCTTGTACTATTCGCAAGTTGGAATAACGGAAGTTGATATATTCAGGAAAAATTCCAATCTTTCATAACCTAGGAGGGTCTTTGTACCGTGGTTGGCGGGTACATTTATTTGTGATTATCTTCAACCATCAGAAACACTCTAGGTTCTTCTTCTTTGTTTAATTGTGGGATAACATTTTTACGTGTGCAATCTTTGATAAATGAGTATTCTACCGGTCTTTGTACTGTTTTATTTGTTTAGAAAATGTTCTAATTTGGTGTTTTCTTGATCTGGTAGGTTTTAAAAGAGCATTTTGTTGCATTGATATCCATGGAAGCCACAAACGATGCCCCAAAATTCTTGGAACCAGAAGAAGAATCCCTTAAGTGACCACTAGATCTTTTTGGGATGTAGTCCTCCCTTACTCTTCGACACCGAACTCTTCCCATGTAAAAGGCAGAGAAATTACCGGTAAAGAAACTAGTCAGAAAACCATCAAGTCACCCAATGTCAACTTCGTTGCTGCTATCCTCATACTCCTCTCAGTCTTAGTAGGTTACATTTTTGTTAGAAAATCGTAGGGCACTGTGTGAACATTTGCTAGTAATATGGAGCACTCTAAGAATAGAATATAATAGAATGTTGTTACTCAAGTTTAGCTGATGCCTATTTTAACCTCCATTTTGCATTTAGTGTAACATGCTACAACATGACATGAACAAGGTATATTTGATGATTCTTAAAACAATATTGATCGTACTAATTATTTTATATGAAATATACTTATTTGGGTCAAATTGCTTTTAAAATTAAAAAGAACAATATAAAAAAATGCTAAAGAATGTAAATTTGATGAACAGATTAAAGAATCCTTGGATAGTTTAATGGTGAATCTGTCGTCTCCAATTAGTTGGAAACTTCCCCTCTTGAAACATTCAGGTTTGCGACATCTGCTGGTGAGCAAAGCGGTGAATCAGCCTCCCTTAGGCTGCAATTTGTTGACAACTGTGAGTTAAGCTTTTCAAAATTAAGCATACAATACGACGTCGGAAATGCTTAATTACCTTTTATCCACAATGACCACCGAACGAAGCTCACAATTGTTAAGGCTGAAAAAAAGAAATCAGATCATTCACATACGATCAGTTAAGGTTGCACAATTAATTAAATGTTACCGTTTGCAAGGCAGATGTCGTGGTTGGATGGCAGTCATTTCCAAGTACATATAAAATCTTCTGAAGGATTATGCCATGGCTCACTATCACCATCTGCTGCTCTGGCCTTGTCCACAACCTGTGATCAAATCTTATAAGTAGAATTAATCAACACAACCCTTGACTGTGTCTACGATTGTTTTGAAGAAAATGGTTACCATTCCATGAAAAGGACCATACGTGCAGCCATTTCCTCTTCAGACTCTCGGACGTCCGGATTCCACATGCTGTCTTCTTCTCCATCCATCTGATCCATTGATGCATTACCAACAAATATCAAAACATACGGACCTACTTCAATACAGATTGTCACTGGATATATATAATATTAAAGAACTCGCCATTGAAAAATCAATAGAGGGGAAAAGTGCTTGACACTCGCTGACCCTCCGCCTCATATCACAAGGTCGCTGACCCTGCATGCATGCAGTGCAGTCAATTAAATGCATGAATGATATGCATTTTCAAATATGGTTGGTTGATAGGTTTCGGGCCCTACCATGCGATCTCGACAAAGCTCAACAGCCATAATTTGGGGACAACTGTTCCCTCCATCTGCCTGGCTTTCACTACCGAAAACTTCCATAGCAGTTTGCACGGTCCTGTTAGTGAATCATTAGCTTGGGATTGAATTTGACAACAACTTATGAATCTTTAACAAGGGAGTTTGGAAATTAAGCAAAATTATTTTCTTTCAACCAGTACAGAGGGGAGGTGATGACTAAGTCAATCTTCTTAAGAAGCCCACTGGCATGAACATCCTTGCCAAGTTTACAAACCTGGAAAAACAAATGGAAAGATTAAGCTTGATTATATATATATATACATTAAAATTACTTGAGGTTTTTGCGACCCATAAGAATCCATTGGTTATTATTAATTACCTGCTGCAATCCCAAAGGGGAGAGTTGTGCATCAAATAGGTGATCAGACAAGAGTGCTTCACGGTCCTTGTCCCCTTCTACATTATGCATAGCTTGTCCATGACTCACCTGAAATTGATCACGGCTATGGTTTCATAAACAGCATTTTCTAATACGAGGGGTTAGCTTAATTGGTTTACATAATCATCACTTTGTTAAAATAAAACAATAACATATACCAAGTGAATAATTTTGCAAAGCTGCCATGGGTATGGAAATTGAGCTGATGCAGTATTCATAACTTCTCTGCAAATGGCAAGTGAATTAAGCAACGCAAAAGGGTTGTGATTGGGAAATAATTACTGGAGCAGAAACAGAATGTCAAGCGAGTATATAATGGTGGTAGAATTACGAGACCATATTTTGTAGTAAAGAATGAAAATTGATGGAACTTGAGAAGGAAAATTGTGAAGGGACTTTGAAAAATGTCGATTTGACCTCCTAGCAACTTTCAAATATGTATATAACATATAATGTGATTTCCCTTGATGTATATAGTTTATATTAACCTACCTATTCAAAGAAATACTATATTATAATACCATTGAAATGCTTAAACATTTCGTAGAAGAAATAATACAGTTGATATGCAAAACTGCAAGTCTTGGCCTTGCTTACCAGAAAATTCCCAGGTAAATGAATGAATCGAAGGAAAGAGCTGTGGAAAATTTGAAAACTTGGTTTAATCAACTCCCAGGAAAAGTATAATGAGCTTCTACTAATTTACTTTTGATTTAGGCGGTTTATAAATTGAACAATAGTCGATCCATGCAACGTAAACACGGACTACTCGGTTTCCTTTTTCTTCAAGGAAAATGTGTGTGCATGGAGAAACTATGTTTTCTTTTTCCTCTTGTTTTTCCTTGAAAACGCGATTGACTATTTACCATGGTTATTAAAACCGGATCGAATCGGCCGGTTTGACTGGTTGAACCGGGAACCGGTTGTCTGTCCGGTCCGGTCACCTTACAAAACCAGTTTTGCAACGAATCGGCCGGTTCAATGGTTCTGTTTTTTTTTTTAAAATAATAAATCAAACGACGTCGTTTGTTATGTTTTTTCAGCCCTAAATTTATTTTTTGATTATGATTATTGATACTTGTATCAATTATATACTTTTTTATTAACTTGTATCAATTATATATATATTTTTATTTAGTTTTCTGATTTGAACCGGAGTACAATATCTTTGGATTTTCCTTTACCCCGAAGAGAAGACCCCCTTTACAGTTTACATTGCTTTTCTTTCGGGTTTTAAACCCATTACAGAGAAAGAATTCTATTTTATTTCTTGGTTTTTGTCCTAGGAGTGGAGCATGCTTGGAATGGGCACATGATGGGACTTGATTAAAACTAATGACAAGCAATTTACAATTAGTAATGTGATATGTCCTTTAGCATTATTTGGATCTGCAAAGCTTCTTGTTGAACTCGATTCAATTCTTAATTATATAATATATGATAATAATAATAATAATAATATCATATCATATGCCAATGGCAATTCCTATGCAAATCATAAAAAATGACACCATTCCAAGGCTTTTCTATTATCTGTGTGTTTACTCTTGTTCTTATATATTATGATTAAAAGGTATGGGCAAGGGATGTGTTTGATTAAAAAATGGTGCTCCTGCAACTTTAATGCTCCAACCAAGTGTGGGTTTTAATAAATAAAAAAATTAAATCGGGTCGGGTCGGATTTTACTTGATTTGAATCATTTGTTTTCACTTGATTTTATGGTATTTAACTTATATATGTTATGACTTGTGACATTTTTATACCTTTTAATATTGTGAACTTAAAAAGAGTGTATATATATATATATATATATATATATATATTAATATTGCTTTTAATATTATGTAAAATTTTAAAAAAATATTATTTTATATAAACCGATTCAACCCGGTTCAACCACGGTTGAACCAATAAATCAGTATCTTCACCGATTTAAGATCTAATCCGATTTTAAAAACATTGCTATTTACACCGTCAAAGCCATACATATAGGGAAATTGTCACACACACTCGTTATATCTGCGTTACTATTTTTCTCAAGAAATTCCCTGGTTAGTTATTTCATGCCCTTAGATTTTATTAGACAAAAAGTTAAAATGCCAAGAAAAATAAAACAGTAATAATAACTAAAATAGATTATAATAAAACCAAACAAAAATGAAAATAATAAACAATTATTTACTCGTTAATAATCATTAAATCGATGGATAGAGACGTTAATTATACAATTTTTTTAAAATAGATTCGTATGTTCTTATGGTGCAGAAGAACATTGATAGATTATCTCCCAACATGCAACAATGATATGAACACAACAATATTACAACTACAATGATTAACAAACAATAACCTCTACTTTTTCTATAACCGAAACTCCTTAAAGTAGAGAAAACATTTTTATATACTTACACGATTTAAACAATACATTTACACTGAAATATTATTGAAAAGTTTTAATAACGGAACAGTAAATATCCACCATTAATATATAATATTATACTTTTTCATTAATGCATAATATTCTTCTCCATTAATACATAATATAATATTATATTGTTTAATAATGCATAATATTCCCTTCTTGTAATGTGTGAATTGAATGAAGAATTGACAGCATCAACTGCTTAAAGCATTTTGATCTAGCTAACATTATTGAAATGATTTCAAGATTGCTAACGTATGTAACTTGAGAGCTTAACAAATAATCTCAGTAAATTTGTAACGAATCACGTTGTGAATATCAAACTGAATGTTGATGCCCGGTTGCCCCTCGAAACAGGAATAAAACTAATTGCCATTTCCTTCTTCTGAAAGCTTCTCAGTAGCAACATCACTTGGAAGATCAAGGCCGCTAGGGATTTTTCCGGGATAGTTAGTTGTTGCAGGATCGGATCCCATCATACTGCAATGGAAAACAAGAAGGCAATTCAAAGAGAAGTTTTCGACAATAGTAACGTAGCGACAAATTTAGTTCAATTTCAAGTTTTTAAACTGTCATGCTTACCTTCTATCAACAAGAACTACAGACCGGAGCTCACAGTTCGCAAAGCTGCAAAAGACGGATCGAAAGTTCTTATTAATCAGTTAAATCCACAGATATACTAATAACATGCAATTGCCTATACGCCCTTCTTTGTGGTGGTTAATTACAATCAATAATTTTGCAGAACTCACTGTTTGCATATTTCGGTTTTCACTGATGGATGACAATCACGCCCAAACTCACTTAAGGTATGGTACAAAAATCCGCTGTGCGTAACGATTGCGATTTCCTTCTCCTTCCGTGTCCACAGCCTGCAACAAATGTTAAATTAGTCGTGGGGCAGTTTAGTTTTGGCATACACTTCCATTTCTTTGTTATGTTGATCCAACATAAAGGGAAAATCTGCACATCAGGGTGACAGAGACCACTCACCAATTCAGAAACTTCCTTCCTCTGGCTGCAACATCTTCGTTCCTTTCTCGGGTGTCAGCTACCCATAAAACATCATCGTCCCTTCCGATCTGAAAGGAAAAAAATAAAACAAGAATTTGAAACTATGTAAAAATTGCTGATAGTGAGAAATTGAGAATTGAGACAAGGCACTTGCCAGAGAAAAATCAATTGCAGGAAAGAGAGATCGATACTCCGTGATGCTTCTTCTTCTATCACATGGATGGACTCCCTGTGGTTCAATGGTTCAAGGAGGAAACAATGGAACTGAGATGACAAAGGCACAATACCCAAAGTTCAAACAAAAATAAAGAGGAAAATCTTAGGCAATTGATACTAATTGCAAATTCCACAACATGAACTTTTTTGAGTATACATATCTTTATCAGCTTACGGTTGGCTTTTGATTAACTACACTAGAATCAGTATGATCCATTATTCTTTTAAGCACAGAGCTTCTTAAAGTAAGCAATAAAAGAGATGACCTACATTTACCAATGAACTGAAAACAGTAGGGGTTATGTTACATGTTTCCCACATATGATGGGGATTGAGCTTTAGGTGTCAAAAACATTAGATTTCGAGCTTTTTATAATGATATGCCAGAACCATTAAAATTATGCTCCATCATAACCTAGAGAATTCTTCCAATCTTTATATCCATGTTGAGTCTGACTAATAACTAAGCATCTTCAAATGCATTTCGAGCACCATGTTATGCATTCCGGGAACTGGTACTTAAAGCAGAAAACTGGGAATTCAAATTGCAGAAAGCAAGAACACCATAATAGATGGCTAAATATATTGATGACTCCAACAGCAAAGTATAGGAATCCGATCAAACATACAAGTATACTGATGGATATTGAATACCCGTGACAGATATGTACAGGGGTTCAACAAAGAATTGAAGTAAAATTAGATCCTTTAGTCTCAGAGGAGAAAACACTGTCCATTACTATTGCAATGAATGCACGAAATTGGCTTCCATATTTGTTGTATGCAGCAGCACACAAACTGTAAGCAAAAACACAGTAAATTGCAGTAAATCTTTCCAGGGTGCATTGTTGTCAAGCAAACATATCAAGTTGAAGGACGTACCAATGTTCTCGACAAAGTTCAACAGCTACAAATGGCGGGCAATTCAGGCTCGTAATCTCAGGCGGTCACTTTCCCTGCATTTGCCACCATTAGTGGAAGAACATCTATCCCATCCTTTCTTCACCGCCAAAGACTCCCACTGCAGTTTGCATAGTCCTATAATACCAAAAGATAAAGCTAGAGTATAACAAATCTAAGTAAAAAAACTCGGACTGGGCATACAGTAATAGAAATGTCATGAATAGTTTCATTTTCCGGGCAATGGATATTCACTATTAAATTAATATAAATTCTGCACTGACTTTAGGTGAATCATACCGTTGTCTCATGAAATGAATATGTGCAAATATACCTAGGCAAGAGGGGAATAAACTTTTATTGCCATCCTAAACTTTTTATCTGTGTGGAATGGTAATGGGGAAGGCTCCTACTCGGTTAATCTCGCATCAGAGTTAGTGCCGGACTGTCTGAAGCTGAGCCTATTTTGGTCTAAACACGTTTGACTTGGGATAGCTCCCCTAGAGTGGAGTCTTTTGTATGGCAGGTAATTCATCCAAGGCTGGCAGTAAAAGGTGTTCTTGGGGTTGAGGACAATCTTTGCCCTTGTTGGTCAAGAACCGGAGACTGTTTCTCATTTATTTGTTTCCTGCAGAGTTGCGTGGGGTTTATGGTTTCGGTTCATGCTTTTTCGGAATGTGTCTTCTGCCCTTCCCGATAATCCTTCAGTATTCCTAGCAGTCTGGTTGAACTTGGTGC